AGACCCGAGACCAGAAAAAACGAGATGGATGGACGAGGTTAGAATGAACCTTACAAATCTTGGATTGTGCAAACACTAAGCCTTGTACAGAATAATGAGGGAACTCGAACAGCACGCCGTGCTATTAAGTGCGAGTAAAGAGTATGTGCAAGTGATTTAAACTCATATATATTCTAGGTTGTCACATGACCTAAGGATATAGCTGCATAAAACTAATCTATTCGATGTTGCCGCTTACTCACCGTAATATTTCTCGATAACATTACCTGGATCAGTGTATAGCCGTAAACAAATGCCAGGACAAAGAACGTGACACCAATGCCAACAGCCACAAATGTGACAATATTAATGAAATAATTGATTTCTCTTGCGATGGGAGTTGATCCCGATGATACTTGAGCAGTAAGAGCTGCGATTCTCCCAACAACCTGGGGAACTCAACATAGATGGATGCCAAATTAATAGTTGATAGGGTCACAGACCGTATTATCGGATGTCAGTATGACAACTCCTCTAGCTGATCCTTCAAGTACGCTTGTAGAAAACATAGCTACATTTTTCGACTCAAGAGGATTTTTATGCGTGAAGTCAGCTGATCGAATTTGTGGCTCTGATTCTCCCGTCAACGATGAATTGTCCACCTTAACACACTTTTTTGAGAATTATTTTGAGCGCGCTTAAGTCATACTTTACCTTGAGGCCTCTTGCGCTAATGATTCGAAGGTCAGCGGGAACTTTATCTCCTCCACTTATTTCTACTATGTCTCCTAGAACTACATCTTCGACATTAACATCTATGATTCTGCCATCCCGGAGAACCTAAAAATTGAGATTTTTGAGTTTGCTACTACTTTTTCAGAAAATATATAACAACAGTAACTTACATGAGCTTTCGTTGGTATCATATGAGCAAATGTGCTCATAATGTTCACACTTTTTGCCTCCTGATAAAAAGAAAATATTCCTGTTATGGACACTACTGTAGCAAGGGTGATTGAGAGGTACAACTAAAAACAAGCTCCAAGACACGAAGAACATCGACAGTTTTCAAACTCACACTATCCTCTCTAGCTTCATCGCCATACTCTTTCAGCTCTATGAAATAACTAGCCAACGAAACGGCAGAAGCACCCCATAATAGCATGTTGAATCCTCCTTAAATTTAGAAATCTTCTTTATAGTATCATTTGTATTAGATTTCCACTGATGCTGTATTTAAGTACTCAACTTCAAATTT